TCGATATTTACGGTTAATATCATTGTACGCCACTGGTTTTTCTGACTTTCATATTTTTATTAGATTGACCAATTGAAATATCAACTTTCTTATCTTTTGTGTTTTTTAAATCTTGCTTAGTATTTGAGGAAACAATAAAAATTCGATTTGACACCAAATTTTAATGAGAATCATTTTGAAATTTTTGGGACTTTTTCAGTCTCCAATTATACTGAATTTTGGCACCATTGAAGCTTTATACAGGGGCGTTATAAATAAAAACAATTATTAATACTTCCAACTTCAACATCCTGTATATCAAACACGAAGCAAGTTAGGGCACATGTTCATATGAACTTTATTTCCTAAAATATCACAAGGAATTACCCCCTGAAGTTTGTCGCAGTTCTTCACTAACACCCTGTATATGCTGGATGGAAATAATATAGGTACTGCATACCGAAGTTGAAATATTTCATTACTTCACTGGCGAGAAATGTGTCTCCTGTATGCGCAGGATCAAACATTTGAGAAACATGCAATACCATTATCGCAACTACGGTACAACTCAAGGATTTATCTAGACTGTCATGTTGATTGAAATTAGTGAAAGGGATCGATACAGCGATAACACTAAACCCACGATAACTATTAACAAAATTCTCAATTGTTTACACACCACTTATTAAGCAACTTTGATGCAGACAATTTTTGACGAAATGGTTTATTTTTATGATAATTACATCCTGTCAAAAATTATGCCCCACCATGGTCGTACCCAGAATTTTAATCAGCCGGGTGCGCAGTGGGTAATTTTTTTCAATAGTGCAACGAGAGTGCAACAAATTCTGTTCCCATATCAAACGAATATATTCAAATTATGATGGAATAAATCTGCAGAGAAAAAAGATAACACACACACTATAATGACACAGTACAATATTTGAATCATTTCAAAATGCGCCAGCGGGTGCCTTGTCATAGTAGACGTCAACTTAAAATTCATACGATTTTAATGTTATTCCACTAAGTTGTCAATTTTCATTGAAGTATATGTTCAGTTAATTTATATTTCTTCATATTGTTCTTTCATCCTTGTTTCACCTGAATAATAATGAGGTACTTTACACAAACACAAGTTATAGTGTAGGTATATACAATTTCTTTGGTATACTTGTTCTTCATTTTTGGTTATGTTTCTTTTGTATTCTGTGTTTTATTTTTTCAGATATGCCGAGAATATATGGTGGTAAGAAGTGACTTTCTTGTTTCAGTCACTTTTGAAAACAGCAAAAATAATATATATGTTTTATTTTTGCAGATCAAAACACAGCACAACAAATTGGTGTGAGAGGAAGTTAAAGAAAATATAAGAACGCTGATCCATCACACTCAATCTTAGACCATGAAGATCTCACTTCGCTCATAAGGACTGCAAGTAGTAAAAACAGAAATACGTCAACATTGTGAAGGCGCTCGCTATGACAATATCAAAATTCGAACTTCATCTGATTGCATTTGAAACTTATCAAGAACGAATTTGTTTCGAAATTGAGTGCAGTTGGACGTTTTATCCAGTTTTTTAAACCAAATTTTGACTTTCACTGGTAGAACCATAGACTAGAACAGTTAAAGGTATTCTCAGAGTGACGTGACATATCTCTTCCTCAATACTGCCGACAACAGAATTACAAGCTGTAATAAGGTTGCTGCCTATTTCGCCAAAATTATCCTTCAGGAACTGGAAAGAACATATCTTTGCATTGGTACGAACATCTTTTCAGTGGACACAGTGGATTGATTTCTGTAGACTAGAAGAAAGAAAGAGGTGTTCATCTCAGATAAAGTACTTCTGGATGATTTTGGACAAAAGAGCTGAAAAAGGTCTTTGAGTGTTCTCTATTCTGTGTATGGGTGTCCCGTAAAAACCACGTCAAACCTAGGGAGAATGTAGATCAAAGGATAACCCACCATCATAAAAATCTTACCGTTTACGAGATGTTTTGTTGTTGAAAATATTGAGTTTTGGCTCCTTTCAATAGGTTTGTCTGTACGGTTGGTACAATTTTACACCTGTAGGAGTTCTCTGTTTAAACTTTAGTGGATCGATATAGTGAGCTATGTAATGACTGACATAACAATAATAAATTATCCGTCATCACATAGCTCACTATATCGATCCACTAAAGTTTATACAGGGACATTGCCCATTGGATCTTCTTGGGTGGAACTGTGGGACTGTAATTCCTGCAAGAGTTCTGTAAAGTCGAAATCACTAACATTCACCACCTCAGGATATGTTTCTTTGATAACTGCTTTCAATTTCAATTCCCGGTCTGCAACAGATTCTCCAGTACCAATGTTGAAATGTCGGAGAAGCTCTGACATCTGCTCTTTTTTCAAGTTCTGCATGAGAACAACCATTTTGTCTATCGTCGGGGTCACCAATTGTAGATAATAAAGCCGATTGATAAACGTCTTCATTATATTATCTACATTTTTAATCTGTCACCAAAAATGACTGACATAAAAATAATAAATTATCCATCATCACATAGCTCACTATATCGATCCACTAAAGTTTATACATGGTACTCCTACACACCTTTTTGGTTCATTTTTTCAGTAAATATTGCTCAAGAATGATTTTAACGTATACACTAAAAACATTATCCGAACATTTTAAAGGGGGGCTGTGAGAAATATTTTTATTGAAAACTTTGGTAGTGGACATTAAAAAAAATTCGGAAACGGTAAGACTTTTATAATGGGAATTTTATCATATGCAGGTGAGTTATCCTTTGATCTACATTCTCCCTAGGGTTGACGTGGTATTTACGGGTCACCTTGTATAAGTGAAGTTTATTCCAAATGAACTTATATGATTTGCTTTTTCAATGAATAGTTTTTTCATTCATACTGATAGCTTTTGTTTGGATGTTTTTGAATCAAATAATTTTTTGACATGTTCTCAATGAATTATCTACTCCATGACATTGAATTCGCAACAAACTTTCGAAAATGAGATCATTAAAAATATCTCAGTCCTTAGTGATATGATTATTGACTCACAAAATTATTTTACATTCTACGTACCAATTTCCGAATGAAAAATCGACTATTTCTTATGGCAAGTTATTTTCTTCCGCAGACACTTTTGTCTTCAAAAATATTCGAACTTGCATTCAAGACCTAGTAACTTTTTGTACAATCGACGAAAAAATATAAAATGCACCTCGGCGAAATACTGTCTATTGGCAATAATAGATAGGTTTTTTCTCCTTGGTACAAATATAACTATTCTTTAGTGAAGTTGAGTGATAGCAGCTATGGGATTTCAAAATTCCCACCTTATTCAACTGTGACATAGAAACATGTGCAGTAACGATCGTGACCTCTCTGATAGATGCAGATATTCAGGTCGTTTATCGAATAGTTACATATAGTGGATGGCAACATCGCAAGAGACTGATGCGTCGCACGTCTGCGCAAGTATCCGCCTCCGTCTCATCCTGTTACAGTAAATCAACCGAAGCTGGCAATGTTGCCAAATGCCATCCTTTCTTCATACTCTATATGTAAACGATTAGATAAACAACCTGTATCGCCCTCTTTGTATAATGTTGGCGTATTTTTCACACATCCATCCGAATATTGTAATGAGGAAAGATTTGATGGTTTGTTTGTATTGAGTGATCGGTGACACAATATGAACATTTTAGGTTTTATGTTGCAGTATTTAGTAAGTTTGTACAAAATCATCCATCGAATTGCACTATTCATTGTGAAGAAATATTGAAAAATTATAATTGATTGTCATATAAATAAATCCCCTTGGAGCCTTTAATTGATCTGATGTGGGAAACAATTGCTATCATGTCAATCAAAACACAAATTAGTTAGTGTAATTCTCAGAGTGACCGGCAGAGCGTTACTGTCATTTCCGATTCAGTGGAATTGCGATAAAAAACTTCCAGCTACAGATGCGATAGAGATGAGTTATTGCCAAGGAAGTCTTAAGAAAGGTATGAGAAGCACTACACGGAATTTATTAAATGGTGCAATAGTAAAAAAGTGAAAACACCATATGAAGAAGAAGTATTTTTGGCTCATTTCCTAGAAATGTCTGAAACCTAGACGCCAAACACCATGGGCTGCTGGCTTCCGCAATAAACTTATACCTACATAATGCTTCAAACGGTACACAAAATAGATAAAAAAAAATATTATATCACTATTGTTAGTTGTTCCTATTTGCAGGAATAATTGATTGAAAAAATCAATCAATTTCCTACGCTTGTAGAAAAAATATTGTTCCTAACTCATGCGGAAAGTGTCTTTCCCGCACTCGACTGCTTGCATGAACTCCGCTTCGCGTCGTTCGGGTCAACGGCATTCGCGTGAGGGAAAATATCGCTTTCCGCACTTGTTAGGAAAATTGAAATTCACCATTAGAAGTCGACATTATCCCTGATGAACATGGGCTACTTTTCACCGCGGGAAAATGCTTCATTCCTACGGGAAACAGGTAATAGGAAATCGGGTAGTACTTATCTTTTTCACATAACTTCTAAACGGCTGCACTGGTTGGGTTCAAATTTTGTATGGGTATTTCGATGGTTTCCTAGATGATTAAAAAATACAATTGGAAGCGGTAGGTGGCGCTGTTCTCAACTAGTAAATTTAAAAAATTCAATTGGACGCGGTAGGTGGCGCTGCTGTCAACTACTAAACGGCTCGACCGATTGGGTTGAAATTTTAAATACGTAAAACAACAAAAAAAAAATACAAAAGATACTGAGGATAGCTAGTCTTTATTATAGGCGATTAGCAGTCCATTTGGGCGAAGCGAGATCCTGAATGGTCTGCGCACTCAATGCACTATTTCAAGCGACAAGTAAATCCTTAACAGAATTTATTGAAAAGCCATTTGTTTTTTTAGCTCCTTGAAGTTAAGTGCATTTTGGGCTAAACAGATAAGGTTGTTTTCAAATCTCTATGAAGAAGCAAAACATTTGATGAATGGTGTTAATTTTTATTTGAACTTCTGTAACAAAAGAAGTCACAAGATCAACATAGTAAAATATAAAGCTTTTTTTCCATAAAGATAAAATAATCACAGAGCTTCGACAGTGTTTGAACATTGTCGCAATGTTATGAAGATCACAAAAGAAAAGTGGTGCCCATCAAACCTTAAAAAAATAAAATTCTTTTGAATAAACAATAGCCTAGATATCGCACAGATGTTTGTACAGAAATCTCAAAAAACACATCTTAACATTATGGCAGTAAGCTATATTTTTATGAATATAACAAACCTATACTAATACATGTTCCATATAATCAGTAAAAAGTGGAAAAATTAGGTCTTTGATATGCTTTTCCCTTGACTATAGTTTACCCAAAAGCCGAAAATGATCTTCGATCTATCTTAACAACTTAAAACAACTAAATAAATAATTTAGGATTATTTTGTAACATATAATAGAGAATCTAACATTTATAGTGTTCGTAACACTGCACAGAATACCAACTCCTTGAACTGATCAATATTTAGACAGACATCAATTTTCCACCTCCTCAACGGAAACATCTCATGTCCCATTTTAAAGCAAGAGGTTTGGAAAATCGACTCCTGTGTCAATCCAATTTTTATAATTTGTTATATTAATAAATCTAATAGTCTAAAATGGCAGCTAGCCTACTTTAAACTTGTCCCGGTATCTTGTTGGGTATTATTGCCCACCTGAAAGAAAAAGAACAAAATAAATTTTGGATTGGCTCGGACCTAACTTGATGGAAATGTAAAAAACCTTATCTACAACTATTCGGGTTGATTCTGTTTGCAAATAGCAATATGGTTGTAGAGAAGATATGGCGAAGATATTGCTATCACAGCAAGATTCAAACAAGTGCAATTTTGATCATCGATTTTGGGCAATATGCCAAGTTCGATGATATCTATATTATTTCGGGACATGATTGATTACTTGCATTACTTGCTCAACTACGACTAAATCCACCATATACAAACAATATGTCAATTTGAACAATACGATAAAGGCACATTACTGTGCCTACCCAGTTGATTCTGTTCGGATCTTAATATAACATTGCCAAATTGATAATATTGATATGTTCATAACATAACAGTATGAGAAATGGCGACCAAGGTTTTTGTCTCATAGCATCCTGACTAAAACCGCAAGGAATTGATAGATTATATGACCCCGTGTACCCATAAATCCGATTATCAGACATTTTTGGGCGTATCATCTGATCTGAGCGCATTTTCAAAAATGTCAACAAATCTGACCTAAGTGTTGTATAGCGACCCGTCTAATTCCCGGCACATGTAGTCAGATAATAGCCCTGAGATACCAATAACACAGTTTTCAAACAACGACATTGTAGCCCGTACCCAGGTGAACAAAAAAAAATTATACCAAAAAACAAAATTACAGCAGCCCATCTAAAAATCATTTTTATGTAAAGTCGGGTCATTTGATGCGAAAAGATCAATTTTTAGACAAAAAACATGTCGCCTTACATTCATATGGCATTTCCAACGTGTCCACAAATCTGACCTAGGTAAACCATAGCAGGAAGTCTGAAATTCGTCGTTAATGATTGAATACATAGCCCAGATGTGGAAAAAAATGATCAGACATATTGAATGTAGCATGTAACTAATCATACAACTTTGTAATTTGCAGTACTTAGATATTTCAAAACGTTCAACACAGAACAGCCATCTTGCGCAGCAGCTGTGGTGAAGCGAGAGATAGGGATATAACACGTAAATGGCCGTTCTTGACACAGTAGCCTAACAAGAGCCTTATTTCCCTTGGTTCTCACGATGTTCTCTGAACATTACAAAATATTCCTTTTCGTGGGAACCAGAACATAAAAAAAATTCCATTCATAGGAATGAATGATTTAAAACAAAAATAAACCGAGCTGCTGTGTATCACTTAGGTCAGATTTAAATGTCAGATGAGCTGTTATACGACAATCGACCTATTTTATTTTACACATTAGAAATGGCTCCCCGCGAAGAAGCAACACCAGTCGGCTCTAAGGTCATCTAATCTATCAATTTTATACAGTTATAGACGGGCTGCCATGAAACATGGTTTTGGAAACCATCTTTCGTGCTATTGTCGGAAAATAGCAAAATTTCAAACTCACAGCAACGTTTTTAACTCGTTTGTCAAATGTTAAGTACCATTAGTGCCATTATTTCATGAAGAAGAAGAGGAGTTTACGTTTATCTAACGTCCGAAATACGCATGTTATTTTCAAATGTCGAATTGAAAAATTGCTGAAAACTCAGCTTTTACATATCGTGGGTCATCTCATGTAATGACGTATCTCATAAAAATCAGAAATTGAAAACAACAAGAAACCTTCATAAACCAAATGAAATATTAGATCTTCAATCAATATATAAATTTAAAATATTAACATTCATTCATTCAGTCAAACACAATTATAATCATAGCAATTTGAATTTTAAAAATGATGATAATATACATTCACCTTCAACTAGACAAACAGACATGTTTTCCCTCATTAAAATCAAATCTGAATTTGGCAAGAGATCTATACATTATAATGGATTATTACTTTACAATGAATTGCCAACAAGACTTAAAAAAAATATCAGTACCAAAAAATTCAATAAAGAACGAAAAATATTTATTCGAAAAATATTTATTCGTCTGAATTTTGTCATGTCACCCATATAAAGATCATATAACATATCAATTATTTTAATCATTCATTCACTCAAACAAGGATCAGCTCAAACTATGTTAATTACTAGAATAATTGTTATACCTATACCTACTACATTTTGAATGTAATGTAATACATTATTGTTTATTTTTTAATGTTCCCTGTTATAAACATATACTAGAGTCCCTGTATATACCTAAGACAAGAGTCCGGACACAAAACTGACAGCCGTTGGGGTTTTTAATATTTTGTTTCATTTGGTTTGCCCACCTGACAATGTGACGAAACACCATAGTCGTCCCGCCCGCTTTTTTAAATTATTTCGAATTTCTGTCACTGTCACTTCGAAATTTATGACTGCCAAAATTTTGCATTCTAAATTATTTCAATGTCCTGCTGCGTACATTATTGCGATAATTCATTGGAAAAGGGATGCAAGTTATTCAATTTTCCGAATGATCCTTTAAAGATAATGTCATGGGAGAATGCAATGAAACGTCCAGAAAGAAAATTAACTTCAAGAAATCCGCAATATGTGAGGTAAATATTCAAATTTACTTGTAAAAACAGTAGAAAATAAGATGAATTTTAGGCCCATTTTGATAAAGATTCTTTCGAGCTGATGGAGTTCAAATCAAAAGAGTCTGCTGTGCCGTCAATTTATAAAATACAGACGTTCACAAAAAGAGTTCCGTCGTCATCGTATTAGGAATTACTGAATGCATCGCATCGATCGCATAGAAAGAAAATGGGAATGAGATGATGCGGAAAGAAATTGAAAGTTTGAAATCAAAACTAGAAGATTTAGAGTAATTGCATTGTCCCTAATGTTAGATAAATATAAAAATCAATGTTTTATAATGCATATATAGGTAATAGGTATATACCGGGTGGCTACGGAAGTATTGTCTACGGAATATATCAGTTATTGTATGAAGTAGGTTTGTGAAATTTGGGGCGTCGATATAATGACATAAGAGCTAGAATTCGAGCATATTGACATGTCGAAGTTAACTACCGGTCTGACCGAAAGTAACTTCAACTTTCTTATTTTAAATGGAAACCCTATTTTTTTTTTTTTCGCTTTATTCAGCATTCAATTCCCTTTCTAATGACATATCACAAGTTGGTATCTAACCAGAAACTAGATCAGAAAAGAAACATTATTGAAATTCACCGAGTAGGCCGTGGAAGCAAAATGAAAGCCAAAAATTGAAAAGTTGGCTATGGAAACCATACGTCAATTGATAACAGTTGCTACTACTGTGATATTTTATTTTCTTTCATTCGTCGGCGTTATGAAAAGACGCAAAAAAAATATTGGAAAAATTTCAGTCATTTTTTGGCTTTCATTTTGCTTCCACGGCATACTCGGTGAATTTCAATAATAATTTTTTTCTGATCTAGTTTCTGGTTAGATACCAACTTGTGATATGTCATGAGAAATGGAATTGAATGCTGAATAAAGCGAAAAGAAAAAAGAATAGGGTTTCCATTTGTTTATCTTCTACGAATCAATGGACTGTATTTATTTATTATTTACTATGTTTTGCACTCTGTGAATATATGTATATCTCATAAACAAAATCTTTAGTAGGTACATGAGAAAAACGAGCTGTGATATAACCACTAACCTTTAGTGAAGATTGATGTTGATGTAGATCGAGAGAGTGGTCGATCAAAATGTTCCGGAGCGAGATCGAGAGAATTCTTGAGTCGGTCGAGATTGTGCACAACACCACAGTGGTACCATTAACGTGTATTTTTCGACTGTACTCGCTGTCACCAAATCGTACCATGGGAGGTACGCAGGTACGCACCAAAAACTCGCGTCATCTCTTCCGTGGTTTGAATCCACGAGATTGTGGAAAATCACAGCAGAATAACGCGCCAAATTGTATAAGTAAATTTAATTTATATTAAAAAGAATAGAAAGAGATTTTTTAGACTAATACCAAATACCCAATTAAATTATAAACAAAATATATTAGAAATAAAATTATAAAGTGAGTGGAAACGAAACATTCCGCCCACCAAAATGAGAATCATTTTTTTTTTTTTTTATGAAGTTGGGGACTCCATTGGTAAGGCGCATAGCTTGACCAATGGTCGTTTAAATTCTCCATTCGAGGTCTTGACGGTAGCGACACGACTCACTCCATCAGGACCCGGGTGGATTTCGATGATGCGTCCCATTCGCCAATGCAGCGGAGGAGCATTTTCTTCTTTTATAAGAACAATAGTACCTAACAGAGGGGTTACAGGAGTGACATTCCACTTACTGCGCTGGTGAAGGGTATGCAAATATTCTTTGGACCAACGAGTCCAGAAGTCCTGGGAGTCGCTGAATAAGTTGCCATCTACTCAGCCGGTTCAACTTCAAATGCTGAAGATTTTCATCTGGTATTGAATTCAATGGCTCGAGAGTCAGAAAGTGGCCAGGCGTGAGAACCGACAAATCATTTGGATCTGTGCTTACAGCGCAAAGCGGGCGTGAATTGAGGACTGCCTCTATTTGGATGAGAAGGGTGTTCAACTCTTCGTATGTCAAGAGCTGCTCCCCTATTACTCTGGAAATATGTGTTTTGACTGATTTCACCCCTGCTTCCCACAGTCCACCAAAATGAGGGCTGGAAGGGGGGTTGAAGTGCCAGTTCAAATTTTCTTCACATGCAGCAGCCTGCATCATTTGAGAGAGTTCCCTAGCAGCCCCAACAAAATTAGTGCCACAGTCGCTGAATATATATGTACAGCGACCACGCCGAGCAAGAAACCGTCGCAGAGCAGCCATGAAGGCGACGGAAGTGAGGTCTGATACAAGTTCTAAGTGTAGAGCTTTTGTGGCGAAGCAAACGAAAACACTGATGTAAGCTTTCAGTTTTTTTGAGGCTTTAACCTTAGCGGCTGTTATCCAATAGGGTCCACAGAAATCAACACCCACAACTGAGAAGGGTTTAACCTGTGATATGCGGAACGATGGAAGACTCCCCATAGGTGGTTGAAAGG